TTGTAATCATGTTTAGTAAAGTTATCATTGTGGATACTCTGAGCAGGGCTTCCAAGATGTCTTATCCATTTCTTGTATGCAGGGAAAGGAGAAACAAAAATGAAAATATGTTCCAGGAAAGGCTTCTGCTTTCTTCACAGAATGATGCAGAGTTTTCATGCCATTACATCTGATGTGTTGACTGCTTCAAAGAGTAAGTATTTAACTTTATGATCAATTTATTTTCCAAAAGAATGCATTTTCCTTATGTTTTCTTTGCTCATTTCCAGATTCCCTCTTACTGAATCATGAAACTAGCAAGATGATAGAAACTAACTCCACTTTCTCGAGTTATCTGGAATTGCTGAATGAAAAACACAGTGAAGGCGCAGAATCTATAAGAAACCTGACGATTAACTGTCTTGAGAAGGATTACATGGTAAGCTCCGTGCATCTGTTTAGACTAGAAATGAAAAGGCAAAGTGTAAGGATATATAAGATAATACAACAAATTTTAGCTAAACAACACTGTACTAATGCCGTCTGGCTGTAAAGTGACTATTTCCTCTTTGCAACAGAATTATATCAGCTTTATGTCTGTGCTTAAGAGATGAAGTGAATATTGTTCAATGTAAACCACCTTTGTGTCACTATCATTTGATTATTTGTTATATCCATTGACCTAGCTATTGTTCACCCATCAGGCTAATAGTCGGGTTTGAAACCATCCATGGGAACTACTCACCAGTGCAAACAGCTTGGGATCAATTGACAAACTAAGAGCTTCTGTGCCAGATCTGGTAGCAAAGTTCAAGGGGAAGCAATACTCGGATCAAAGGACACACACTCCAAGAAGTCCTCTGACGCCTGTCAATCACTACCTTGAGTGAAGGATGTGGCAAATTCTGGGATGCTCAAATGTTGTAAAGATGGCAAGATAGCTTGCCGATCTGTCACCACCTTAATTTTTAGTATGCTCAGATGTTAGGATGCTGCATGCAAAGATTCTGATTAGGGTTAGATAAGAAGAAGGCCAAAAAGATTCGATTTCAATTTGTATTATGTAAAATCAACGTGATATTCTCACTGTTATGCCTTCCATTTCTGATCAATCCTGTGAGGAAAGTAGCATGCAATGTTGAATTTCTTTCCCATTCCTGAATGTGCACATGGTAAGTTCAAAACCATAATAAGTATTACAAGTTTGCTAACATGGTATGCATCTCGAGAATCCACTTGTTCCTTCTGTAACGTGCTTTCCATTTTCTAACGCAAAATGTTGCATATCTGAGCCCTTCCGTTGGTTCAGGCTATCTTGGCCGATGATCACATGAGGAAAGCACAGAGAAGAGAATGATATATGCAGAACGGCTCATAAATCATCTTAGGAAAGAGAAGGGTGAGGGAAAGGATAAGATGCAGGAAAACAGAGGAGCAGGGTCTCGTGAGGGAAGATAACGTTTCATCGATCAGCGATGCAGAGGTCTGTTTCTCTCTTCACTTGTTCCAGCATTTTTCCTCTATTTCTCTTGAGAAATAAAAACTGCTTTTCTGTGCACTCTGTTCTTCAAAATCGTGTTATGAACTGTTAGAGATGCAACCTAGATATATTGTACATTGCTTGGCAGCTGGCAACAATATTTCGGATATGATGATTGTTTCTAGATGTCTGCTCTTCGTAGAGGCATTGTGTATCTTTTTGTAGTGTTGTACAATTTATTTAGTTAGATCAATGGATGTATCTTTGGCTAACTCTAACTGCAAGCTTTTTCTGTGGTATGTTACCATATTGTCGAAATTCCTAATGGATTTAGGGTTCTAAGAAACGTACGAATTTGACATTTGCAAAAGTATATCTTGCACATGACCACACGAGTCTAACAAAATATTCATGCTACTAACATTACTGCAATTAAACATAGCAATGCCATTAGCAGGGTTTTTAATCTACTAAATAGCTTTGCCCTTGCTCGTTCTGTTGGCAGGAGTGCAGAGTTTTGGAGGAAGAACTTGGCTGGGCCAGACTGGAGCGGCAAAAAACCCTAGCCCTGTCTGCGGAGGCTGATGACGCAATCTGGCATCTGGCCTCACTGGCGCGAAGGAGGATGCAAGAAAGGGACGAGGCCAGGAACCAAGCGAGGATGCTGCTCGCGGACCTCCAGGCAAGAAACGCCCGGATGATGGCGCTTCCGGGAACGTCGTGCTCCAGAGTTGCACGGCCTGATGCGTTCGCTGCCACCGGCTACAAGCACAACCAGGCTCTTGCTCCGGAGTTCAGGCCTCTCGGCGGTACGATGATGCAGGGGCAGCGTGCCCGTGCAGGAACTGGCTACTGCGTTGCGTCGTCCAGCTGCTTTGGCAACAGGAGCATCGGTTCGTCTCTGGACGCCTACGCTATTCTGCCGTCTCTAATTGGCTTCGCTTCCTCGAGGCAGGATCTCTTCGATCCTGACATGTTCCTGGTGGACGTCGTGGAGTCGCCGCAAGATGTCGTTCCGGTTCCGGCCACTGCAGACTCCTGCCAGAGGAGAAGCTCCAGCTCCGGCAGAGATCGAATTCTCAATGGTTTGGAAGACCTTCAAAGTTTGGTAAATTTGATACACAATTGGGATGCAGGTCCAAGTTCAGAGCTTCATTTCTATGCAAAACTTACAAAAATTAATTTCCCTTTTCAAAAATTGCTATTTTGAATCAATGAATAACATAGTATTTTATAACCAATTTGCATATAAACGGTGTCTGATACAGACAGGGGTATTATAGACTTTTTACACAGCTTATAGCTCGCAGTAGCTTGTCCACAGTTGTTTTAGCCAAACGGCTTTGACATCCCACGACAGTTTTTTCACAGCCCATAACTACAACAGTTTTTTTTCAGCCACAGCTCAACCAAAACAGACCCTTAAACGAGCAGAAGGCCTTGCAGTGGGAAAAGTAAATCAGCAATTCAAGCTGCTCCGCGTCGTGCGGCCATGGCCATACTGCCTAGGTCGGTGCCCTGTTAGTTGCTCGGAGGATCAGGTTTGCTCAAGAGGTTTTTTTTGAAACATTAAGAGTTTTTTTTAGGAAGCTCAAGAGGTTATTAGTACTTGCACGGTAAAACTCATAAGTTCGGTCATGTGTTGTGGATTTGAATGGCGTCTAGTTTCTTTTCGCTACCGCCTTTATAAAGTTTAAACGATAATCAGGTTAAACCTTTTCACCTGTCCAGGAGGGTCTCAGGGACCAACCTCCTTTTTTCTGGCATCCTGAACAGACTGCAAACTTAAGTTAGGACGGGATGTTCGTTTGGATTGAAGTAGTTATCGAAAACCTTGTTTTATATATAAACTAAAAAGACGTGAAACCATGGTTTATACAGAAAAAAGACATTACTGAAGTTTTTGAAATAATGCTGCGGTGCGGGCGTCCGTCCGTCCGCACACCGCCTAAAAAAAATCTCCCACTCCGAAAGGCGAAAGCTGCCAGCCGCATGCACATTCTTCTTCTGCCCGACAGTCCACTCCTGCTCTCACCGAGACAAGCAGTGAAGCGTCATCCGCCGATGGCGTCTCAGCCCCACTCACTCGAGGTTCGGACCCCCGGCTTCCGACGACTCGCCGCGGCCCACCACCGCTCTCCTCTCCGCCTCCGTGGCCGCACCCCAGCCCTCATTCGCCCTCGCCTCTTGCTGCTCCTCATCATAGCCCTCGCCGCTGTCACGACCTTCGTCCTGCTCCGCCCGCCCATCACCGTTGTGACTGCGGCGTCTGCTACCATGCGACCGCTCTCCAAGCTCCCCAAGCCCGTGGTGTTAGCTCATATCATCTGATGGCTTCCGCTTCGGGTACCGGTACAAGATCCCTCTCCCGCACATCCACTGCCTCATCGTCGACACCGGCACTATCGTCGTCCCCATCACCTCCTCCTACGGCTAGAGACGGCAAGGGTGTCGTGGTCGTGCTGTACTTCGCGACCGCCTCGAGGCTCGCCAGACTGGTGGTCGCCGCCCACTAGAGTGTCGCGCCTAACATGTTGCAAGCTTATGTTTCAAGTGTTTTAGAGGTATATTGCAAGTATTTTATGCGGATGTTGCAAAAGTAGATCGAGATGTTGCATATGTTGCAATGGTTGTACACGTATGTTGCAAGCATCTATTTCAAATGTTTCATCTGATTTTTCCAGACGTATGTTGCAAGTGTGTTTATTTGGATGTTGCATATGTTTCACAAATATGTTACAAGTGTTTTTATCTGGATGTTGCGTACGTTTTACAATGTTTTTCAAGTGTATTTCATGTGTTTTTGCAAGTGTTTCAGATGCATGTTTCAAGTGTTTCATCTGTCTTTGGACGTATGTTGCAAGTGTTGCATCTAGATGTTGCCAAATTAGATCGAGTGTTGCATCTCCCTCCTCGCTTTCTGCTGTCTCGCCTCGGTGTCTCCTCCCGGCGCCAGTTGGGCATCCGCCGCCCCATCCCCCTCTTATCGATGTTGGTGACGTTCGGGGCGGCGCGGGCCCAGCGTGGGCGCGCAGAACGGCCCGAGAAATGGACTGCAGGCACGTCTGTCCGGACGCCCCCTCTTTTCGATGTTGGTGACCTTTGAGGCGGCGCGGGCCCGCGTGGGCGCACGAAATGACGCGGGAAACAAACTGCAGCAAGCCTGTTTTTGAAACTCCAAAAAGATTAAAATTTTGATAAAATCATGGTTTTAAAAATATAGTGGTTTACTGTATCTAAACATCCAGCATTTTTATAAAACAGTATACTACTGCTATTTGTCCAAGGAAATATACTCTGAAAACATTTTCCGCCCATGGTCCATCCCGCTCGGCCCAGCCCACTTGTGTGCACGGACGTAATCCCCCGAGCCCGACCTAGACACAGGGGGGTCCTCTCCTCACCAGCATCAGCTTCCTCCCTCGCCCCTTTCTCTTCCCCGCGTCCAACAAATCTAGGGTTCCAAGCGAGCGAAAGCCTTCCTCCGCCAGCCGATCTCCCCGCATCCTCCCGCACTAAGCCGATCTTGGCACGAGCGAAGATGCCGCAGCGGCACTCGAAGAACAACAACGACCTCGCCTTCTTCACGTACGAGGAGAAGCGGAAGCTCGGATACGGCACGCAGCGGGAGCGTCTGGGAAAGGACTCCATCAAGCCCTTCGACGCCTGCTGCCTCTGCCTCAAGCCGCTCATCGACCCGCTCTGCTGCCCCAAGGGCCACACCTTCTGTAAGGAGTGCATCCTCGAGTGCCTCCTCGCCCAGAAGAAGGACATCAAGCGGTAGGTTAGCAACACTCCACGGTCTACTTCTTTGGATTATTGATTGCTTAATTGCTTTAGGTAGTAGTTGGTTGGGCCAATGGGGTATGAGGGTGCGCGGTGGTAGGGATGAGAGAAGGTTGCAGGATATCTGCTGGAAGAATTGTCAGGCTAATATCAGTGCTGTTAGACTCAGGTGGCTGATGATTTTTGTGCGGATATTAAGCTAAGCACGCCCATGAATTTTAGGCCAACATTATCTGACCTGGAGTTAGATTTAGTTTTGCCAAGGTCACACCTGTACTTGGGATAAAATTATCTTTCATGGATCCATACCGTGTCTTGATTTGAGCTCTTGTATGTAGTGTAGTCTCAGCATCCAACATTTGACCCTAGCAATTTCTCATTGTACCTGCAAGTATATGTTTGCTAAATTTCATTTTGCGAGCAGTCGTGTTCATAGGCCACTGGTCATTAGACTAATTCCCCTCTTGTAGTTTCCTTACCTAAAATTCCTGTTGTTCATGATGGGCTTCAAAAATTCTGTAGTTGGCCTTAAACTACCTGCTTTGTAATCGTGTCTACTGAACAGAATACTGAGTGTTTACTCTTGTTGTTCCAGCAAGCTAGCAGCTCACGAGGCCCAGAAAAAGCAAGAGAAGGAAGAGGAGGAGGAGAAACTAATTCTGCAGAAGGCTAAGGAGTTGGATGCTTTTGATCAGCAGAATCATGGGGCTGTTCCCCAGTACCATGATCGCAGTGGTTCCCAAGACAAGAATGGGTTTCATGGAGCAAACAGTGTGAAGGTCACTTCTTTTGAAGAGGAAGCCCTCCGCAACATGAAGGCATTTTGGCTCCCTTCAGCTACTCCTGAAGCTACAGTCAAGGTAGATGCACCCTCCACCGACACTGTCTGCCCTGAGGGGCAGGAGAAGCTCAAGTTGAAATCGCTCTTCCCTATCTCATTCACGGAGGAAAATGCTGATCAGAAGAGCAAGAAGGCGGTGGAAAAGAGCTACATGTGCCCTAGTTGCAAGTCCACTCTCACAAATACCATGTCCCTTGTGGCGGTCAGCACCTGTGGCCACGTCTTCTGCAAGAAGTGCTCTGACAAGTTTCTAGTAAAGGATAAAGCTTGCTTAGAGTGCAGTAAACCATTCAAGGAGAGGAATCTGGTTCCATTGGAGAAAGGAGGAACTGGGTTTGCCGCACATGATGAACGCTTGGAGGCAAGGGATTTCAAGCATTTGGGTAGTGGTTCTGGGTTAGGACTAGTGAAGCCTGCACCAAAAGCTTACTAGCCTTGAATAATTGTAGCCGCTGTTGTATATTGATTATCATGGTGTCATGAAATTATGTAACCTGGAAATTTTGTTTTATGGCATCGAAATCACTCTATTCAGAACAGTTCCTCTTCAGTCTTTAACAATCTATCTGATATGCATGCATCTTGCAGCTTTGCTTCTTTTTATTGTGGCAAATTTGTTAAGCTGCAGCTGATGTATTATGATGTCTGACTATGATCCGCTTGCTCTTGTTGTTGGCATATATCTTAATATTATGTTAAATATTATTACCCCAGAAAAACGAGCAGGAACATGTCATCATCGGAACCACCTATCCATCAGAAGGGCTGTTGCCTGTTGGGATAGCCCACTTTTGTCAGCCAGTGGTCAATACAAGACAACCAAAAGTGCTGAAATGAGGATAATGAAGATGCTGACTTGGCTGCCTTGGCTTCCACCCACACACTCGATACTGGAAAAGTGGGCGTGTCCAGCAGCTGTGGACAGGATAACTGATGCTGGGCTACAAGCTTCACAGAACTCTTCCTCGAGCTCAGTGCCAACCTGAACTACTGAAGGTGAAATGGCAAGCCTGCAGAATCTGATTTGCTCCGTATCCAAACAAGTATGTGCTCAAGCCCCTTCTCACTGTTTTCTGGAATTTACTTATTTCCCTGCAGTTCTGAGGAGTAACAGCTTGAACCCGGGTGCTGATTTTCAGTTGGTTGTGCCAAATTGTGCGGTGACTGCCAAACTGAATGGGAATCCTCCCTCAGTTGTGGCGGCAAGCTCGAAAGAAGGATCTCTGAATGACAGTAGTAATTACTCCTTTTGTTGTTTCTCATACATCTGATGGTCGGCAGAATTTTGTTTTATTATAACATCTCTCCACTTATATAGAGGTCACGAAAAGGCGATTAGCTTTGTTTGGTGCTGGAGCGTTAGCCACTGGCCTACTGAAGACAAGCTCTGCATTTGCTGAAGGTATGACCATTTTGGATGGCCTGACATCGTGTTTATCACTTATGAGGATCAGACAGTTCTCAAGTAGCCTTTCTGCCTTTTTTTATATATTTGACATTAATTGGAGCTGTTCCTTGATTTCAGAAGTACCGAAGAATTATAAATCTTATGTGGATGCAAAAGATGGATACTCATATCTTTATCCATCTGAATGGAGGGTAGGTTGCCATGTGATTCTTGAATAATGACTCAAATGCCAATGACCTTCTTTCTGAAGGGTAATTTTCATCGTGCCTTTGTTTCTTTGTCCCTGGATAGGATTTCGACTTCTTGGGTCATGATTCAGCATTCAAAGATAAAAATTTTGCCCTTCAGTGTGTTCGTGTGGGATTTATTCCTACTGAGAAAACAGATATCCGCGACCTAGGACCAATGGATGAGGTGTTTTCTTTGGCCTATGTACTCTTTACTTTGATTAGTCACAGAAGATAGACATAGCTTTGAAAGCTCAGAGATTCGCTTTTGCTGATCTGATGAATATTTTTCACATTATATACCAGGCCATCTTCAATCTGGTAAACAACGTTTATGCTGCCCCGAATCAAATACCGTCGGTCTATGACATGCAAGAGGTCTGCCGTCTGTTCATTGCTTATTCAATCAACATTTCTTGCCTGGCCACGGAGTTGCCAAATTTATGTGCTACCTAACTGCCTGAGCAGAAACTCCTATAACCAATGAATTTATGTGCTATACTCACTGTTCTATTGCAACGCAGCTCAGTGCTCGTTTGAGATACAGTTTACGAGTAAAAACTGCTACTGAAATAAGCGGTTGACCCTACTATTTTTGCAGCGTACTGTTGACGGCAAGAACTACTGGACGTTTGAGTACGATCTGGAGGCTCCGGGCTACGGTGTTTCTGCGTTTGCAACGGTCGCCATTGGAAACGGTAGGATGCCTATGAACCGCAAAACGTCTTAGGTCGGCTCATGTGTTTCCCGTTGAATTTTTTTTCCCCTCCAGGTCGATACTACACGCTGATCGTGACCGCGAACGAACGCCGGTGGAGCAGACTGCGGAACAGGCTCAAAGTCGTCGCGGATTCTTTCAAGATCTCGGATCTGACAGCGTGATCGCTTGCTTCTATTAGGGCAGCTCCGATGATGATTTATGAGCTAGCTCAAAGCATATTATTTCATACTTTAATAAAAGCTAGCTCTTGATGAACAGCTAAGCTCATCCACATTCCAAGATTATGTGAGAGTGTCATGTAAGGATACACATGCTATGAGCAATGTGCTAAAGTTAGCACTATTGGAAAAGTTATCTTAACTGGTTTATATTCTTGAGGGTGCCTTTAACTGTGATGTAATGCACGGCCACATGAGCCATGGTATATGTATGCAGAATGCTTGGTGAAGAGAAATGTCTATACCCTTGGTGTGATACCCGTGCCTATTGTCAATGGTGCTGATGTGCGTACCATGTTAGCGAAAGATGAAATGCCTTGTGCTGGTTGCATTGCTGTCGGTTCGTGGCTCCCAAAATTACACGCTCCGTGAACAGCATCCAGCTGTCGGTACAAATACAACACTCATGCGGCTTAGAAAGTTTCGAAATGAAGCTAACGAAAAATAGAAACAAGGATTTATCACTAGATTGTTTCAAGCACAAGTTTGACGGGTGATGTGATGGCGTCACAATTAATGTTGACGGTGCCTTCATTGCTCAGTCGGGTGCCGCGGCGGTGGGTTTAACTGTCAAGTACTCCATGGTGCGGCACCCATCGCCGCGGAGGAAGCACAAGTGTCCGCGTGCTTGGAAGGAATCAGGCTGCCTGGCGTCGACCGTCGAGGCGGCCTGCCCGCGCCATGGTCCTGGAATCTCTCCCTGCTCGGTGTAGACCGGAGAAGCGATTTGTTTGGCCCAAACCTCGTAGGTTTTTTTCTTGGCTGAAAAACTGCTTTTCTGACTTTTGTTTTTTAGCTTCGGTTGATTTTTTGGTATTGGCTTTTCTAGCAAATCTTGTTAACCCACTTTTCTGCGTAAGTCAACTGTTTAGTTGAGCTGGGCTGTTTGCCAAGACAAAAGGACAGCAAAAGCTGGTTAGGTAATCATCGTCGTCGATGCACTCTGTGATAGCCGGCATCTACTGAGTTTAGTGGCTCGGAATGTTGGAAGAAAGCAAAATAAAATAGCGTACCAACTGTCGCGTATAGCACTTGTTAGAGTAAACCAGAGTCGTGTCTTTTGTGGAGGTTCCCAAGTGTGTCCGTGACTTTAAAATCGTGATGACATTACTTAATCGGTTAATCCACTGTGTGCCTTATGCATATGTATTCACCTTAATCTATAGGTGTTGGATGTATTCACCTTAATCTATAGGTGTTGGAGTGGATTCAAGTAAAACTTAGTTTAATTTTCACTTAATCCACTTCAACAAATATGTCCAATGCAAAAAAAAAAAAAAAAAAAAAAAATCATGCCGCTGTTAGCTGTAGCATACAACATGCAAGTTGTAGCCTGACGAGGAAGCCAGAAATGGTGAAGCTTGCCGTGGCAGTCAATATGAGACTCGCTTCGCTCGTGCCCATCGACCCAACAACATCTGCAACTCCTAATCTGAACGGTCTCGTTGCCGGAAATAACGCCGCGTCCAGAATTACCCAGTATCGGGCTATTCATCACGGCTGCAAGACTTGGACCGACCAAGAATCGAACTTTATACACAAGTTAAATGATCAAAACACTAGCATTACAGAGGCGAGAGACATCACAAGCACGAGCCTCAGAATGTTTCAACTCATATTACAAAAATTACAATGCCCTCCAAACCTGCTAACTTTTTCCAGAATGAGTTGTGCCCTACAGTTTCAACACAGTTACTTACCTGAATCTCCAAGCTAATTTTTTTTGTCAAGATCAGGTCAGCATTCCGCTTACTCAGAACAGCATCAGCAGGGCAGCAACTTCCAGCATTTTTCATGTGCCAAAAAGGGCGCCTGAATGGCTGCACCAAGAGCAGAAGGAAACCTGATCATGCCCTAGGATAATTTACACCTAAAAAGCCCAACAATAATTACATTAGCCGATGCTGGCGAAGGCCCTTGCCAAAATGGGGTTGCATCAATCTAACATATAGACCGTTCTGGTCCATCAGAGAGTCATGTGTGCCCTGCTCAACTATCCTACCACCATTTAGGACAACAATGTTATCCACATGCTTCATCATTGCTGCCCTGTGGGCAATGAGAATTGTTGTCTTGTTACCCATGACCAGAGTGTCGAGAGCTTCTTGTACCACTCTACTTGATTCGGACTCGATTGCAGAGCTGGCCTCATCCAACAACAATATAGGCGCATTCTTCAAAACCACCCTAGCAATGGCAATTCGTTGCTTTTGCCCAGGTGTTAGATCAACCCCTCTCATTCCCACATGAGTGTCATATCCATGTGGCAAGCTGCTGATGAAATGATGAGCATTTGCTATCCTTGCCGCTTCCTTCATCTCAGCCTCTGTTGCATTGTGCCTTGCATAAATAATGTTTTCTCTTATGGTCGTTGAGAAAATAACTGGATCTTGCTGAATCAGTCCCATGTGGCTACGCAACCATCTAAGGTTAAATGATTTCAGATCTCGACCATCCAGTAGAACTTGGCCAGAAACAGGGTCATAGAATCTCTCAATCAAAGAAATAACGGTGCTTTTCCCAGATCCTGAAACCCCAACCACTGCAACTGTCTGCCCACCACTCACTTTAAGATTAAAATTACTCAGCACAAGAATGTCCGGGCGAGCAGGATAAGCGAAATCAACATTCTTGAATTCAATGCTTCCATAGACATTGGGTGGTTTCAAACCGGTGGTATCATCAGGATCAATCTTTGGCTCACGGTCAATAATTTCAAATACTGACGTAAGAGATTTCCTCCTTTTAAGAATGTAAGGTGCAAGTCCAAATGGCTCCACCAATGCGAATGATACAAATGAAAACAGAATGTACTCTTTTAGTCCTGTGGCTATTGTCAGACGTTGTTGGTCAACAGAAATAGCAGTGTACCAAAGAAGCAGGGCATTGCAGGCAAAAAGAAGGAACTGGGAGAGACCAAAGCCAAAACCTATAGCCAGTCCTTGCACAAGACTTTGTTTTAGTATCTTGCCAAGATGTAGTCTGTACAGTTCCATTATCTTATCCCCAGCACAGAATGCTACTACAGTGTATATGTTCCGCACTGCATCTTCAAGCACTAACGAAGCCTTTCTATGCATTTCCTGGATTCCTCTTGAGAAGCCAGCAAGCCACAATTTCTGCAACACAAGTTATTAGACCCATTAGAGATTTGCCAGTGTACTAATGTGCTACAGTTATAACATATGGAACATTTTCTTTTTGATTGCCTCAACCTTCGATTACAAGTTGTAGCATCTGAACTCACGCACCAACTCACACCACACGCACGCACCCTAACACACTCACACCCCTAGTGCGTAAGCTAGACCTACAACCTATATCTAAGGCTAGAAGTACACGGCTGAAAGGTGTGACAGTGATGCCACATCCGTGCGAGGCAACTGAAACTTATTATGGGGGAAAACCCCGGTGAGGAAACGCAGACGATCCCAGGGATCGAACCCGCGCCCGGCCGATCGCCCACTGCGAAAGCGTACCAACTGAGCTAGCACTCGTCCTCATAACATATGGAACATATGAAGAAGCACTGCTGCAAAGAGCAAGCAGCATGATATAAAAATTTCAATATCTGTAACCCATATATAGTCATTTTTTTATTTGAGAGGGGTAGATCATAAAGGGAACTGTCACAAAGCCCATTACTAACATGAAAAGTAATATTTTAGAGTTTGAAGTCTTCAGTAATCTTTGATAGACTGTTCTTACACGTGCAAGCTTCAAAGTAAATGCTAGGCATCAAATTTCTGTTAACATACCAATCTTTTAAGGGGATAGCAAACAACAACAACAACATAGCCTTTCAGTCCCAAGCAAGTTGGAGTAGGCTAGAGTTGAAACCCACCAAACGCCCCCAAGTCACGGTTCAGGCACTTCAATAGCTGCTTTCCAAGTACTCATATTCAAACATAGATCTCTAGGTATATCCCAAGCTTTCAAATCTCTTTTTATTGCCTCCCCCCATGTCAATTTCGGTCTTCCTCTACCCCTCCTCATATTATTAGCTTGGCTTAGGACTCCACAATGCACTGGTGCCTCTGGAGGTCTCCTTTGGACATGGCCAAACCACCTCAACCGATGTTGGACAAGCTTTTCTTCAATTGGTGCTACCTCTAGGCGATCACGTATATCATCGTTCCGAACTCGGTCCATTCTTGTGTGACCGCAAATCCATCGCAACATACGCATTTCTGCAACACTCAGTTGTTGAACACGTTGAATCTTTGTAGGCCAACATTCTGCTCCATACAACATAGCCGGTCTAATCGTCGTTCTATAGAACTTGTCTTTTAGCTTTTGTGGTACCCTCTTGTCACAGAGAATGCCAGAAGCTTGTCGCCACTTGATCCACCCTGCTTTGATTCTATGGCTAACGTCCGTATTAATATCTCCATCCCTCTGTAGCATCGATCCCAGATACCGAAAGGTGTCCTTCTTAGGCACTACTTCCTTCCAAACTCACGTCCCTCCTCCTGTACAATTCCGCCAAAGTCGCATCTCATGTATTCGGTTTTAGTTCTGCTCAATCTAAAACCTTTAGACTCAAGGGTCTGTCGCCATAACTCTAGTTTCCTATTTACTCCCGCCTGGCTTTCGTCCACTAACACTACATCATCAGCGAACAACATACACCAAGGGATATCCCCTTGTATGTTCCTGGTAACCTCATCCATTACCAAGGCAAAGAGATACGGGCTTAAGGCTGACCCTCGATGAAGTCCAATTTTAATCGGGAAGTAATCTGTGTTACCATCGTTTGTTCGAACACTAGTCACAACATTGTTATACATGTCCTTGATGAGGGCCGCGTATTTTGATGGGACTTTATGTTTGTCCAAAGACCACCACATAACATTTCTTGGTATCTTGTCATATTTAAGGGGATAGCAAACAAATAAAGAAATCTTTATTACCTGTGCAATAGCAGATATGACAAGAACTGG